TTTCCCACGGTCTAAATGAAAGTATGGAACTCATTAAGTTGAGTTTAGTAAATTCATTTGGATTAAATGAATCCAATGAAAAATAGTGGTACCGGAATGAGGGAACCATAGAATTCTAATCGGTGTTGTTCTAATCAAGTTTAATATGCCCCATAATTATTAAATAACCATGACCCTTAGGAACACTTGATTTGACGTCATGGCATGACATATTAGAAAACTTAAACTAGCCACGATGATGAACTTGCAGAAAACATTGTGGGCAGCACAACCATCTTCAAAAGCAAAACATGTCTACACCAACTAAACCATTTTTTCCTTAGAATTAAACAACCAAGCCATAAGACTTTGAGTTTTTCCGCCTAGTGCAACATAAATCATCAACTCCTCTTTAGGCTTTTGTACGACTCTGCTATACAATATAAGCCCTAAGTCATTTTAGGATCCCGAGGTTGTCGTTCGTCATGACCTAAATTCTCAAATCTTCCAAGTTATTTGTGTGATAGTTTTACAAGAATGCAAGCCCTAAATAAATAAAATTTGGCAGGATAAAACCTTTAAATATTTCTCCTCTAATTTGAAGCCAAACCATAGGGTAGTCAGGGAAGTCACCGAGGTTCTCCTCCGGATCTATGACATCACCTAGTCTCTTCCTTTGGATTCCAAAACAAAATGTTCCAAATTTGAGTCAATCCCCTTTCACACCACTTTTTTCGATTTCATTAAAAATTCCAAATCCGTTGATCTCCTTAAAGATGATATCCCAACATTTTTATCGAGAGTTTTCTTATGTGACTTCGGTCATCTATGATGTAAATAACTATAAGGGTTTGGCCTAATAGGAAGCTTTTCCGAACCCAACTTAATATAAATCGTTTGATCGAGTCTCATCCTCAAGTCTTGTGCTTATCCTTCGGAATAGATACAGGGTTTGAGGTATAGTGTTCTTTCATTTAAACTATGAAAAATATGGGGTCAGTTTGATTTCATATTTTTTTAAACTATATACATATATATATATAAATTAAAATGTCCTTCCGAAGCGGGCGACGGAATTTCGATTCTGGTGACCGACGGCTTCCAACGGGCAACTCCTCCAACCAAAATAGTGCCGACAAAGTGTTTCAAAAAGAATAAAACTAAATGTATGCAAGATTTAATTCTAGAAACAATTCAAACGCAAAAATTATAAAATAATTAAATGTAGAAAAGTTTGAATTATGTAATGAGTCTTTCCCCTTGAAATTAATTCACAATCAATGTTATATTAAAAAATGTTTAAAAGTTTAAATGTTGTGTAGTGACAAATAGGAGCATATTTGCTTCTTTACTCTTTTCCGAGTGTATGAAGAGCATTGACTAATCTAAAGTAAGTTCTAACTTGTTGTGGTAGTGCTGAGTAGATTCTAGTCTGCCATTTCTAGATTATCCATTGGGCCCTCCCTATAAGACTTACATGGGACCCTTTGTTCCAACTTTAGACCAAATTGGTAAAGGATCTAGCCTATCACCCTAGAAACACCAATTCTACGTCAATCAAGACTTATCTCCCAATCTATTTACACTCTCCTTAGATTGTGTTTTCCCTCCTCGTAAGGTTAGTGTGATACTCACTAGTTGGGTGAAATCATAACCCTCCCGAGTTATTATGTTTCTCAAAGAATTTTAACCTCATAAATGACCAATTTGCAAGGTAAATGAAGAATCGGTGCAAATACCATCACAACTTATGGAATAAAAGAAGTTTTGAACAAATTGAATCCTCTACATGATTACTTCTTATTGTTAGGAAAAATAAAAAGAAAACTACTTAGAATTCATGGGGATAACACAACAAAACATATTTTATATTTAAAACTAAGTCTTATCAACAAAAAACCTAAATACAAACACAAGTGTTTATCTTAGATTCCTCTCCAAGCAATTCTTGAATTTTCTTTCAAGATATCTCCAAACACTTCTTACGCAATCAAGGACTCTCCTCTTTTATACAATCTCACCCATACTAACTCACACACCCTTTAAAGCCCCCCTTTTTCGACCAGCCAATGACCGTATTTTATAAATATCTGAAAATAACCAATGGTCACTACAAGTACCTCTTTAAAATTCATCCAAATTCATTGAACTAAATTGAAAACCGCTTTTGGCGTTATAGCGTACACATTTCATCTCATTATTATCATAACCTAAACTTGTTAGCAATTTATGCATTAAAACATAAATAACTCAAAATACGATATTATTAATCTTGAATAGAAGATTGTTATAGAGTAGGAATTGTCAATGTGGAGCTTTATTATATATTACTTGCACAGTGTCACATTAGCCCCAAAAGAATTACTAGGAAGAGTGAAGTTTTAGTAGCTTCATCATTGAGAGGTTCATGCGAGTTGCAAAAATACATTACTTCGATTCAAAATAAACTTCAAAATGCATTTTTAAAATAAATAAAATTTAAAATATTAAAGAAATGATATATTTTATAACTAAATATTTTCTATTCTAATAATACTATTTTAAAAGTTGGAACTTCTTTGCTTGAATTAGAGAAGTATTGAATTTAGTGCGGACGTATATGAAACTAGTGTTTGAAATAGGGCTATGAAATTGGCCTGAAGATCGTAAATCAACTGAAAATCGGATTAAATTTTAGCTCGGATAGAACAATTCAAGCCGAGCTACGAGCCAAATTAAATGATCCAATTTATTTTGATTCAATTTCGATTAGTCCTCGGTTCGGATCGGGATTGGAATCAGATAAAATAAATTATTTTTATATTTAATACCTAAACTTTTAATTTTATATGTATAATGTATTGCCAGCTTAAGGTGCTTTTTGCTTTTAGCGGGAGTGCATTTTTTGTTGATGGGGCCGACTGTGCCAGCCAAGAAGGATCCGAGTCAAAAATGACATCCGACCTCGATTTTGGATCGAATGACGCTCTAACTCCGAAATAAGTAGTCCCCGCCGCGGCGCTCAAAACATGACGACGAGTTTCCATGCGTTCGAAGAATTTGTTAGCCGCCCTCCCTGTTCTCACTGTGTTACTATAAACACCCCATCCGATCCAATCAAACAGAGTCTCTCTCTCTCTCTCTCTCAGAATGTGGCACCACTCGAGAACTGAAAGGAAGCAGGCAAAGGTATGATATTAATTTCTTCTTCTTCGTCTTCTTCTTCTTCTTCTTCTTCTTTGTTTAATTTGGAGTAGAACGGAGGAGTTTGACATTTCTTCTAACTATAAGTACTTTTTTACTTCAGAGTTCATGGCCAAAAGTTATCTTCAAAAAATGGCTTAACCTTGAAAGTAAGGTTTCTGACTTCAGCGCAGATGAGGGAGACAGCAATACTGATTATCATGACGAGGATGAGGAACAGGGTAAGCATAAAAAATGCCTTTTCAGTTTATTTTTTGTATATATTTTTTGCTTGTTCCATATATGTGCTTGCTCACACGGTGGGATTTCTTCTTCTTGATATTGGTTGATGGGTTATAGCATATGGTGATTATTTTATTTTAATTTAATTTTGTGTGATTTACGGGCTTTAGAAGTGAAACAGGCGTGGTTTTGAAATCGAAATATTCTTATAGGGTTATTATCTCGCCATTTCTGGTATGTGATTGGTTTATTTTATTGAAGTTTGGAAAATCCTTTTTTTTTTGTTGAATTGGGGTGAAAAATCTTTTTTGTTTTCTTAAAAAAGGGCTTTCTTTATCAAGTTTCATTTTGCTTTTCTGTGTTATGTTAGTTTAAGATTAAAGTTGTTTTGTTCATTGGCATTTTAGTATTACAGCAATTTGATGTTAGTTTAATTTAGGTTAGGCGCTATGTAGATGCATTTTGATGACTATTTTGATGGTTAAAAGGTTTAGAAAGCAAGAATATGCTACATGAAAAGCAATAGGGACCATAATAAAATACTGCAATATTTGTAATAATTAACAAGCTAAGCAAATTTTATGTGCCCACTAAAAATTTGTCTTTTGAAGCATAAACTTCGAATTTTTTACAAGAACAGTTGAACTCCATTTTCAATAAATTTGTAAGTGACATAGTGCAACTTGACAAAGTTCAACCTAACTAAAATCGTGTAGATCCAAATCCAACTAACTTAGATCAAATACACAAAAACATTGATGGAAATTTATTGCGGTCACTGGAGGGTTTAAAAGTCCTTTGAATTTGTGTATTATAACTGAAACGATCATCTTGATCAGAGGAATCAAGGTTGCTCAAATCCAAATTTATGAAGGCACTAAGATGTCCTCAAAATGAAAGTTGATTAAAGGGACCTATCAAACCCACTAATTGAGATCTAACACTCTCATAGAGATGACATAAGTATTTCTATTATGGGCATATTTTTTGCACAGTTGAGATATTTTAGTGGGGAGACTTGTAAACCTATTTTAAAAGTCTAACAGCAATTTGGAACCATAGTTGTTCATTTAGGAGGTTTTGCTTTTTGTGAATTATCGTCATCCTTTCCTAATGACCTGATATTTTCTTCAACTAAGAGGGCATTCATAGCAGCAACGGTCTAACATTTGTCCCAATGCTAATATCTGCCTCAGTCACAATGTTCACTACTATTTTCTTCTAACATTAACTATTATCATTAACCATCTACTATCACCGGATATTGAATTATGTTGACAAGTATCTTCTCGTGTGCTTCAACGATCATCAATGATCATTGTCATCTAATTATCATCTATTGATACCGAAAATCATAGTCACCCATTTTCAGGTGATGGGGATATAGATGGGGATGTTATCAGTAGAATTTAAGTTGGATAGTTGAAATTGAGGAATGCATTGGGCCTATTGTGTGATAGAGAAGTACCGCTTAGACTTAAAGTAAAATTTTATAAGATGGTGGTGAGACCTACAATGCTTTATGAGTCATAATATTGGCTTGTAAAAGAGAAACATAAAATTAAGTCATGCTGGGATGAGAATGCTTAGGTGGATCAGTAGCTTTACACTTATAGAAAAAAATTGTTATGAATATATCCGTGAAAGGGTTGGAGTAGTTCCATTGACAGACATGATTAGAGAGAGCCATTTTATATGGTTTGACCACTTTATACGTTGACCATCTAATGATCCTGTTAGGAGAGTGGATATTTAAACTTGACTAATGTTAAGAAAAATAGAGATAGTCTTAAAAGACTTGGGCAGGTTGTATAAAAAACGATCATAATTTATTAGAATTAATTGAAAATATGACACTCAATATGACACAATTGAGAAAAAAGATTCATGTAGGTGACTCCACTTAGTGGGAATATGGTTTGTTATTGTTGTATTAGTGTTCTTAATCCAGTGATATCTTCTTCTGGCTTTAATCTACGCTGACATATTTGACTCTATGTTTTATGTATGTCATTGATTGACATTATCATCCACCGTCAATTGAAGCCGGTGCCTGTAATCAATCATTCTCAAATATTAAACTTTACACCACCATCAATTAACACTACTTTCTATCCCTACATTCATATATTTATGTCCACCTTCCGCCTGTCATCATCAATATCATTAAACGTTTTCAACCACTATCACAGAAATTACTCCTATAGTTCTGGTTTTATGATATTATCTTTTTCAACAATCGAGGAGGTTCATTGTAATCTTTAGTTGAAATAATGGAGCTATTTTAACATGTCTAAGCTCCCTTTTTTTTCCTTTTTTTAATTTTATACATAAATAATCATTAATGTTTTATGTTTTGGTTGTTTTTTTTGTGTGCAAAATTTGCATACAATGCTAAGATGATAAACTCTTACTCTTCATTGCAAATAATCTGCATACAACAAAATAACAATTATGGTTTGTTAACTTTTTTTCCTTTTATTGTTGATTGTTGAGTTTAAGGAATGAAATAATGTTTAAATTCTAACTTTGTCAATTGTGTGGCCAACTTTTCAATTCTTCTGTATCATAATCATTAGTATTATCCAACCTATTTGAGTTCTCAACTGCATCACTTTCTATTAAGGCATGTGAGATTATTGTTTTCATTTTTAGATTATATATTTGAAAATATATTGTTGTAAAAATAAAAAGTGGTTGGCACTCACCCGCAAACTTAATCTTTTAGGTTAAAAATTAATTTTGTCAATGGTGTATCTTGCCCAACTTTGATATTCCTTTGATTCACAGTATCCTTATTTACCATTCAACCCTGTTTGGTGTTGCATGTGGTGTTGATTCTAGATTATACAATTTTATTGCATTAGTCCTATCTAAGCTTCATTCAACTACCACTTTCTCTTGCTACTTTGGATTGAATAAAAAGGTCCTATTGCTTGGTTTCGTTTTCTTTATGTCACCAATAAAAATGCATTAATATTTTGAAGTACTAAAAAGATTTCTTAATTATAGTGCTTCAAACAATAAAATCTATGTTTTCAATTGGAATCATTGAAATAGAAAAAAAAAACAAAAATGATTAGATTGTGTTAGTTTTAAAGTCATGAAATTGGACATCTTGCTGACTATGATGATATTAATTTCTATATCATTAAATGCTTCTTTAGTAAGCTGAAGTTTTGCTACTTAATAACAAGTCAGAGGGGGCTTATTGCATACTAAGGAGGAGAAATTCTGAAACCCTACGTGCACAATACATTGATGCCAAGGATATAAGGCAAGTTACATTAACTTTAAGACTTCTATTTCATACTGCTATTTGAATTTTTCATTCGTTTGTAATTGTTCTCTTTTCATTACATTATAAATGTATACAATACTCAAAATAAAATTTTTTGCAATACACCAATGTTCAAAATTCTTTTTGAAACTAAATTCGTATACTCATTAATTGCATCATAAATCTATATTCAACTAACCATCATAGTCAATTCCAACATAAATGAACATTTATTAACTCTAATCTAAACTTCTTCTAATTGACCTTTTTTTTTTCGTAGGATTTGTGTTGGTACATGGAATGTTGGGGGGAAAGTTCCGCATGATGACTTGGATATTGACGAGTGGCTAAATACAAATGAACCTGCTGATATGTATGTGCTTGGGTAATATCATAAACCCTTTTCCTTGTTTTGTTTCCTATTAGATAAAAACTGGTTGCAATTACTAATTCATTCGCCTCTACTTTGGAATTTTGTTGTAATTTTGTATAGTTAGTATAGTGAAACACTTTGAACATTACAAGTTTGTTTTATTTTCCAACATATATAACATATCTGAGACAATTGCAGCTTTCAGGAGGTTGTTCCATTGAATGCGGGGAACATATTCGGTGCTGAAGACTGCAGTCCAGTGCCAAGATGGGAAAATCTCATTCGTAAGTCACTGAACAAAGTTCAAACGGGAAAACCAACATGCAAATGCTACAGTGATCCTCCTTCTCCTTCAAGGCTCAAGCCCTCTGAAGATGCTTCTGCCATTATCGAAAAATTGCTTTTGCATGAAACTGATAATGAAAGTGACAATGAAATGATCCAACAAGTCAATAATTCCATGAATGATTGTGATGATTTCAATGGGATTAGCACTGAGAACGGGCTATCAATGAAAAAGTTGGATAAGTGTCATCGTTTTAGTATGATAGACAGTGACATAATTCCCAAAACACCAATTTCTCAACAAAACAAGCTAATTAAAACATGTTGGGGCTCAGAAAAGATTGGCTTGGCATGGCCAGAACAACCACGGGAACTATTAGCCAGGCGTGTTTCAGATAGTCCAACTTTAAGATCAAAGTCTTTTAAGACTTGCAGTCCACTCGCTTCAGCTTTGGGAGATAAAAAAGATTCATTATACTTTGGATCGATACAAGAGTTTGATCCACGTGTCATTTTCCGTGCAAAGAAAAGATCGTCTTTTGTGAGGATCATAAAAAAACAAATGGTTGGCATTTTCATATCAATATGGGCTCGGAGATACCTTCAAAAGATTATTCAAAACGTGAAGGTGTCTTCTGTTGGTGTTGGTGCTATGGGATATATAGGAAACAAGGTTAGGCTTCTGTTTGTTTTATATTTCCATATCAATTTTAATTTGTTGATATGCACTTGTCTTATACAGTTTGATAACTAATCATCAATCTTTGAAATCATTTTAAAAAAGAAAACGCCATTTGTCATGCTAATTTGATGACATGAAAATATTAGTTTTCCTTGTCAAGGATATGAAAATCACCTGTTTCTTGCTTTTGTTTGACAACTGCCTGTTCATGAATGGATGATTTTGATTGTCTCTACTTTGTCTTCTTTGGTTGGACTTTAGCGTTTTTCTTTTCTTCCTTGCTGAGAATTTATGATTGTGTTTTGTTGATTCTGCTTTGCTATCATAGATTTTTATGACTATTAATTTAAATTATCAATATGAAATTTCTAAACATTTGAAAACCTTTCCTGGAAGTATATTTAATCTTTACCAGTGGTATGAAGGGCATAGTATCTAAAAATAATTTATCTCTACCCACCCATGGTGCTTTAGTGCTCTTCCTTGGCGCTAAATCAACCTATTCCTCACAACACTTGGACTTGTAAACACAAAACACTCTTAGGAGAGGAGTAGGGAGAAGTATTGGAGAAAGAAAGATATCACTAAGAAAGATTGCAACACTTGAATTCTTGGAAGCTTGGAAGATTTTCTTGGATGGTTACAAATGAGGGGAGATACTCCTATTTATAACCCCCTCCAAGTCCAAGGGAATATTCTAGAGTAGCTTAGTTTCTAGAGTGTTCTGCACTATTCTTATATACATATATGGCCTCAGACCTTTCTAGGGTATTCTTCAGTTTATCCTTGGACCATTCTCTAGAATGAGGTGGAATCATCTAGAGTTGCTTGGATAGCTCTTCTCCAGCTAGAATCATCCATTGCAATGTTGTCTAGATGGGGGAGGGGGTGACACTCTCCCCCACTTATGCTCGCAATGCCCTCATTGTGCCATTCTCCTGGTACTGCTGGATCTTTTCGTTGAACTGCCACAGTGAGTCTTCATGCTCCTAGCTAGCTTTACTATCAAACAATCCTTTCCACTTGATGAGATACTCTTTGTAGTTTGGCACCCCTCGTCATCTGATCACTCTATTTGCCAATATCTCTTCAATTTATTTATCAAAGGAGGTGATTACGGCTGTAGCCGCTCTCTTGGAAATCCCTTTTGAAGGGTCTTCCATATCTTCATGATAGGGCTTCAACATGCTTACATTAAAGATTGGATGTATTTTTAGTTTTGGTGGAAGGTTGAGTTTGTAAGAGACATTTCCCACTTCATTACCTCGAAAGGCCCTTTGTATCATCAAATTAATCCTTTATGTACCTTTCAAAATGTTTTGAACTGTTGGGGCAGAAGCTTTACAAGGACTAGATTTCCTTCTCTAAACTCGATGTGCCTCCGCTTTTTGTCTGCCCACTTCTTCATTCTCTTTGCGGCTTTGTGTAATGTTGCTCGAGCGAGCTCCTTTTGCTCATTCCAAGACTTGACAAACTTGAAGGCTGCTGGACTTTTTCCTTCATAGCTGGTTGTAAGGTAGAGGGGAGTCATCGGTTGTTTTCCCATGATTATCTCGAAAAGACTTTTCTTGGTGGCTTCGCTTGTTGGTAAATTAAAAGAGAATTGTGCAACATTCAGCAATTTGGCTCAATTTTGCTGATTTGCGCTTACATAGTGACACAAATATAACTCTAATTGGGTATTGATCCTCTCAGTTTGTCCATCACTTGGAGGATGAAAGCTTGTAGAGAAGTTTAGATCTAACCTCAACATCTTGAATAGTTCAGTCTAGAATCACCCAGCGAAGCGAGGATCTCGATCGTTGACAATGTTTTGTGGTATTCCCCATAGCTTTACCACGTTGTAGAGAAAGAGCCTTGCAGCTTCTTCGGTAATACAGTTAGTGGGAGCAACAATGAATGTTGCAAACTTGCTAAACCTATCAATCATGACTAGGATGCTTCCACACTCATCTGACTTTGGCAAGCTGGTGATGAAGTTCATTGAAACACTCTCCCAGGTCTCTAAGGAATAGGTAGTGGTTCCAACAACACCTTTGGTTGTTGAAGGACAACTTTATCTTGTTGGCAGACAAGACAAGTGCGAACATATTCTTATACCTCATTTTTCATCCTTGGGCAATCATAATTTGCTTTTAGAAATAATAGGGTTTGCTTCATACCTGGATGTTTGGCCCATAAATAGTCATGACTTTCCTTGGTTAGCTCCTTTCTTAAGTTGCCACACCTTGATACGTAGATGCATCGACCTTTAGTGTAGATAATATCTTCATCAATCCAAAACTTTCTAGTTTTTCCTTGTTTCACCAGAGCGATAACACTTTGGGCTTGTGAATCAGAGTTCAATCCTTCTTTGATTCCGCTTATTAGGGAGCTGGAAACTTATGAAATCCTTGCAAGTTCTGCTTTTTCGGCTTAGTGCGTCTGCTATTATATTGGCCTTTCCTGGCTTATACTCCAAGATATAATCAAATTCCGCCAAGAAATGTTGCCATCTTGCCTGACTCTGAATTTGGAGCCAAGTAGGTAGTGTCTCCATACTCTAAGGCAATGTATGATGACCGTCATCTCCTTTTCCTGGACTATATAGTGACAATTCGTCTCATTAAGTTTCCGGCTTTTATGGGCAATTGGGCGTCCGTCTTGCATGAGTACCTCTCCTATAGTGAAGTCAGAAGCATCAGTATGCACTTCACATATCTTAGTATGACTCTTCACCGATTGCCTTCTTGAGGTCTTCAAATGCTTCATGACACCTGCTATTCCATTCCCATGACTTATTCTTCTTAAGAAGGTCTGTTAATGGAGCAGCTCTTGCAGAATTGCCCTTAATGTATCGTCGATAGTAGTTTACAAGCCCCATATAGGATTTTAGCTCATGTACCTTCGTAGGATGCTCTCATTCTTGGATGGCCTTGATCTTGCTTTCTTCCATCATAAGCTTTCCATCCTTTATCTCATGCCCTAAGAATATCACTTCTTGTTTGGCAAAGGAGCATTTTTCTTTTTTGATGTATAGCTTATTTTCTCTAAGTACTTTGAATACATCTCGGAGGTGTCTCAGGTGATCTTGGAGTGTGTTGCTATACACCACTATGTCATCCAAGTAGACAACAACAAACTAATCCAAGTATGGTTGGAATAGTTTGTTCATCAAGTTGCAGAATGTAGCAGAAGCATTGGATAGCCCAAAAGGCATAACCAAAAATCCAAACGACCCATACCTGGTCACACAAGTGGTCTTTGGTTTATCTCCTTCTGCTATCCTCACTTGGTAGTAACCTGATCGGAGATCTAATTTTGAGAAGTACCTTGAGCTCTCTAGTTGATCAAAGAGATCAGCGATGAGAGGAATTGGGTATTTGTTTCTCACGATAATTTTATTTAATGCCCGGTAGTCCAATGCACATTCGCAGAGAATCATCTTTTTTCTTCTGAAATAGAACTTGAGCACCATATAAGGATTCAGATGGCCAGATCAATCCTGCCTCCAACAACTCCTTCAATTGTTTGCCCAGCTCTGCCATCTCTAGGTGCCATACAGTAAGCTCTCATTGCCGATGGCTTAGTCCCTGGCTCCAGCTCGGTTTGGTGATCAATCTCCCTTCTTGGTGGTAATTCTTTTTGCAATTCTGGTGTTGAATCATCTTTAAACTCCTCAAGTACTGCCATCACTTCCCTTGGCATGACTTCTTGGGGCTTCAATTCTTCATCAGGGTTATGAAGAACAACCAAGTAGCTCTCCTCCTCCTGTCGGATGCCTTTCTTGAATTGAAGTGCTGTAGTATTTTGGCTTCTTGCTTCCAAGTCCTTCATGTTGGTACTGGGCAAGCTTGATTGCCGTCCATGATACACATGCTATTGGCAAATGGTATTGGGAGCGCTTTCACTTGGTCCAAGAATTCTTGAACAAGGATTACCTTGAAATCATCCATAGGAATGATGAAGAAAATCAGCGTACTTGACCAATCTCCGACACAGGTCTTCACTCCTTTGGCCATTCCATGAATTGGCCTAACCGCTAGGTTGATTGCTTTAGTGGAACCTCCTCCTCCGGTTACCCATCAATTTGCTTCTTCAATATAGATGAAGTTGTGAGAAGCTCTCGTATCTATCATTGCTATTGTAGGTGTCCCACTTATAATCACCACCGCAAAGAGAAGTCTTTTTTTCGGGGTTTTTGAAGAGGTGTGCATCTCGTTGAGCTGTTGCATTGTTCCCACTTGTGCTGCCATATCGCTTCCTTCATCCTCTTGATGGCTTGCAAGAAGAGAGTTCAAAGCTTTCTTATAAGGGAAATCCCTTGCCCAATGCGGTCCTCTACAAAGAAAGCAGTTGCTGTGTGATTTCATTTTGTTGTTGTCGTTGGACTTCCCTTTGTCCTTTGCCTTGGATAGTCGCGAGGGGTCTCTTCCTTGTGTTGATCTTTGTCTTCCTCACTTTTGACATAGTTGCTCTTTTTTTCTCTTGACTTTGTAGACTCTTCAACCAAACTTTCTATGAGGACGATGGCAATAGCGAGATCTTGCGCTCTGCGCTGCCTAAGCTTAGTCTTTGCTCACTGTTAGAGTTCATCCATGAAGTTGAATAGAACCTTGTCAGACATGTCAGAAATTTCAAGGAGCAGGCTGGTAAACTCTTTAATATATTTTCGAATCGATCCCGTTTGCTTGAGTCTTTGCAATCGGGCTCTTGCCTCATTCTCTAAGTTCTCGGGGTAGAACTGCCTCTTTAGCTCCCTTTGGAACTCATCAAAGTTGGATATGGTGCACATACCTTTCTTGTTGTCTCCACGCCTTCTTCTCCACCACAACATAGCAATGTTTAAGAGATAAAGGTTTGCAAATTGAATTCTTGCATCTTCATCTGTAATCCCCATCGCTCCAAAGTTTTGATCTAAGTCCCCATAAGAAATTGTCCAATTCTTTCGCGTTGCGAGATCCTCCAAAACGCTTTGGTTTTTGTACTTCAATATGCTTGGCTTCGAATATATGATTGTTTGTGGATGCCGCTAGTGTCATCTTGCATAGCGAAATGTCTCCACACATCTTCTCCAAGCTTAGCACGTACGCCGCTCATCTCGTCTTCATGCGTTCTTTGTACCTATTGGAGCTCCCCCATCATGTCCTTCTGCATCTTAGCCATTTGATCCCTTAAAGACTCCTCCATTTGGAGCATCATACTTTTGATCGTCGAATAGATTTTGATGTCCTACTCCTCGAGTCCATCAACTTTTTGGTCATGATCTTCTATCTGAGCCTTCATGTCATTCATTGTGTCTTCCACCCGAGCAAGGGGCAAATCAAAGCAGTGCATGATCTCCTTGGACATCCCATGTGGTTTGGATACAGTTGGATCTCGTTGTTCCTAAGGACCTCGCCCTTGTTGAGATGATTCTACATTAGTGGCTTTGGACTCTATTACGTTCTCTTTAACACACTTTGACATACCTTCAAACCTGGATTTGATTCCAACTATCATGGAATAACTTATCTCTAGTCAGCCGTGTGGCTTTAACGCTCTTCATTGACACTAAATCAGCCTATCCATTACAACTCTTGGACTTGTAAGCACAAAGCACTCTAAGGAGAGGAGTAGGGAGAAGTATTGGAGAAAGGAACACTTCACTAAAAAAGAAAGATTATAACACTTGAATGCTCAAAGCTTGGAAGGATTTCTTGGATGAGTACAAATGAGGGGAGACACTCCTATTTATAGCACCCTCTAAATGCAAGGGAATATTCTAGAGTAGCCTAATTTCTGGAGTGTTCTACACTATTCGTATATATATTCATGGCCCTAGATCCTTCTAGGTTATTCTTGAGTTTATCATTGGATCATTCTCTAGAATGAGGCGGAATCTTCTAGAGGTTCTTGGATAGCTCTCCTTTATCTAGAATCTTCCACCTCATGGTTGTCTTGCCGATTTCTTTAAAGATTGCGGGGTATGACAATACGCTAGTGCATGAAGCTTCCATCAAAGGACGTTCTATGGAGGGCTTCTTGTAGGCAGTTTTATCCATGTATTCGGAAGAGACTGTTCTGTGTATTGAAGCCTTTGCCTTCATATCACAATGGAGACGGCATAATCGCTAGACCACTCCTGCCATCTTATTAGTGGCTTTATCGAGTCATACATAACTGTTTTTGCTCTTTCTTTACCCAATAAACTATTCCAAGCTCCAAGAATGATTTCAATAACAAACTTGTGTTAATCTACCAATATGATGTATACTTGTATTCTATCAACTTTATTTTATAGCATTTTTTTAGTTATTTAACACACATAATATGGTAATGCTAAGTTCTTTCTTTTTATACTTTTTTTGGAATGGTTTGCAAATATTTCCATTTTGTTAAAACTCAAAAAAACTTTTTGAGAGCCATGCACATATAAACCTTTTTTTGCCATCTTTTTCATTTGGCCAACAATAAATGCATTCAATTTTGTGAAATTAATATTTTAATATATAGAAAATTAAACTAATATATTCAAATATGTTTTAGGGATCCATCTCAGTTAGCATGTCCGTAGGCCAAACACAATTTTGCTTTATATGCTCTCACTTATCATCTGGGGAAAAGAAAGGAGATGAGCTTCGTCGGAATGCTGATGTGCAGGAGATTAACCGAAGAACTAGATTTGCGGGACTGCATAAAACAATTAAAGATCATGAGTAAGTTTGGTTTTTTTATTTAGGAAAAATTATTTGTGTTAATCCTTGGGAAAAAAAGAAAAAATCAAAAGTTGTCATTATTCTTTACGTGATGTTTTTATTATGTGCCTCCAATATTTAATACCTACCCTTTATTTCTATCAACATGATGTCTTAAGGGGACAAAATGGTTTGAGGCTAAAAATTGAAATTAGTACCTAAATACTATGATTCAAACAACATATTAAGAAAGGGATGGACTGATGGATTTCAGAAATATTCTTTTTAAAGAGATTCACAAATAACTCTAATGGAAGCTAAATAATAGGATAATAAAAACACTTTGGAAACTATAATTAATGCATCAATTAAAAAATGTTGAACCATGAATATTAAAACCATTAGTTTGCTCAAAGAGATGGTAAATAACTATTCCTGTGCGGTTAGCTGAGCAAGGCTCACATTTAAGAAGAAAAGTTGCAAACCACACATGGTTAATTGTAGGCATAAGTATTAGAGTCAATGTGAATTGATCCACAAG